ACTGTGTGTTTGTCTGCAGCCTCCCCCACCAGAAAACAGCCAAAAGTGAAGGTAAGTTATTAAATAAAACTATTTTTTTTTGTGGTTGCTACAGGGGATATGGTTAGGTTTTTTTTTTGGGGTGGAGGTGTATGAAGGGGGGGGATGAAAAATAATATTGCACCGGGGCCCTTTGTTCCCTAGGTCCGCCACTGAGCAGCACTGCCACGTTTTGTCTGTAATGCAGCTTTACTCTCTCTTTATCCAGGTGACCATTGTCAGGACAGGACAGGGAATCCAACATTTCAGAGTTGTCACCAGAACAAGAGGTGGGGGGAAATCCTCAAAGGGGAACACCTGTTCATGTGACAGATGTCTGATGGGGAAATTCCCCTTACTGTGCAGAGATTTCCTCTCACCTCCAGTTTTGTCTCTGGGACATAACCTGTGCAGAGAGCAGAGCTGTGGGAGAGGCCCAGGAGACCCCATCCACTACAGAAAACTACAGGAGGGGTGGAGACAAGACCAGTCACCCTGCACAAGGAGAGAGAGCAGCAGTGACCGGTCTTTATTACAGGAAGTTCCAGCACAGAAGCAAAGTTTCACACTAGATTACTGCACAGATCTGGAAGAAATATACAAAGCTCACCAGTAAGAACACACATGACTCTGGTATTTACACAATATTTGCTTATCCCAGAGTTCAGCTTTCATTTTGTGGAGAAAGAAGGTGCTGATGAAGGGGTTCTGATTGAAGGAGAAAGTATTACATTACAGCCTTTGGAAAAAGATTTTATGGGGTGTATTTATAAAATATTTACAGAGCTAATAGCTCTGCAACTGTTTAGGTTGTAGATGCACTCCACATTATGGCCAGTAGATGGAGCTAAGGAGCAGAGGAATTTTCTGTACTGCTCAGCTCCATGTAGTGGCCATAATTATTATTTTTAAAGATAGCCCCTCGGTTCCATTTGCGCCGTTTCAAAATAACGCCCTTTTAGGCCTGTCACGTGACCACCAGTGAAACAACAGCGCCACCTAGTGCATGCTTAAGGATACACAAGGGAAGGCTATACAACTGCAAGTGGTTTGAATAAACAGTATGTACAATACTGTGAAGAGTCTCTGGCAGCTAGAATGGGGAGGCACACAGAGGGACACTTGGAGGTATGGTGGTGCACACTTGGAGATGCACTGGTGGCACAGGGATACACAGGAGATATACACAGCCACATAGATACATGCTGGAGGCACACTTGGAGATATGGAGGAGAACAGAAATATACTTGGAGATACCCAGGAGCACAGGGGTACACTTGGAGATATGGAGGAGCACAGGGGGTACACTTGGAGATATGGAGGAGCACAGTGATACACCTGGAGATACCCAGGAGCACAGGGGCACACTTGGAGAAATGGAGGAGCACAGGGGTACATTTGGAGATATGGAGGAGCACAGGGGGTACACTTGGAGATATGGAGGAGCACAGGGATACACCTGGAGATATCCAGGAGCATAGGGGTGCACTTGAAGAAATGGAGGAGCAGAGGGATACACTTAGAGACGTGGAGGAGCACAGGGGTACACTTGAAGATACGGAGGAGAAAAGGGGTACACTTGGAGATATGGAGGAGCACAGGAGGTACACTTGGAGATGTGGGGGGAGCACAGGGGTACACTTGGAGATGAAGGGGGGGGATGAAAAATAATATTGCACCGGGGCCCTTTGTTCCCTAGGTCCGCCACTGAGCAGCACTGCCACGTTTTGTCTGTAATGCAGCTTTACTCTCTCTTTATCCAGGTGACCATTGTCAGGACAGGACAGGGAATCCAACATTTCAGAGTTGTCACCAGAACAAGAGGTGGGGGGAAATCCTCAAAGGGGAACACCTGTTCATGTGACAGATGTCTGATGGGGAAATTCCCCTTACTGTGCAGAGATTTCCTCTCACCTCCAGTTTTGTCTCTGGGACATAACCTGTGCAGAGAGCAGAGCTGTGGGAGAGGCCCAGGAGACCCCATCCACTACAGAAAACTACAGGAGGGGTGGAGACAAGACCAGTCACCCTGCACAAGGAGAGAGAGCAGCAGTGACCGGTCTTTATTACAGGAAGTTCCAGCACAGAAGCAAAGTTTCACACTAGATTACTGCACAGATCTGGAAGAAATATACAAAGCTCACCAGTAAGAACACACATGACTCTGGTATTTACACAATATTTGCTTATCCCAGAGTTCAGCTTTCATTTTGTGGAGAAAGAAGGTGCTGATGAAGGGGTTCTGATTGAAGGAGAAAGTATTACATTACAGCCTTTGGAAAAAGATTTTATGGGGTGTATTTATAAAATATTTACAGAGCTAATAGCTCTGCAACTGTTTAGGTTGTAGATGCACTCCACATTATGGCCAGTAGATGGAGCTAAGGAGCAGAGGAATTTTCTGTACTGCTCAGCTCCATGTAGTGGCCATAATTATTATTTTTAAAGATAGCCCCTCGGTTCCATTTGCGCCGTTTCAAAATAACGCCCTTTTAGGCCTGTCACGTGACCACCAGTGAAACAACAGCGCCACCTAGTGCATGCTTAAGGATACACAAGGGAAGGCTATACAACTGCAAGTGGTTTGAATAAACAGTATGTACAATACTGTGAAGAGTCTCTGGCAGCTAGAATGGGGAGGCACACAGAGGGACACTTGGAGGTATGGTGGTGCACACTTGGAGATGCACTGGTGGCACAGGGATACACAGGAGATATACACAGCCACATAGATACATGCTGGAGGCACACTTGGAGATATGGAGGAGAACAGAAATATACTTGGAGATACCCAGGAGCACAGGGGTACACTTGGAGATATGGAGGAGCACAGGGGGTACACTTGGAGATATGGAGGAGCACAGTGATACACCTGGAGATACCCAGGAGCACAGGGGCACACTTGGAGAAATGGAGGAGCACAGGGGTACACTTGGAGATATGGAGGAGCACAGGGGGTACACTTGGAGATATGGAGGAGCACAGGGATACACCTGGAGATATCCAGGAGCATAGGGGTGCACTTGAAGAAATGGAGGAGCAGAGGGATACACTTAGAGACGTGGAGGAGCACAGGGGTACACTTGAAGATACGGAGGAGAAAAGGGGTACACTTGGAGATATGGAGGAGCACAGGAGGTACACTTGGAGATGTGGGGGGAGCACAGGGGTACACTTGGAGATATGGGGGAGCACAGGGGTAAACTTGGAAACTATGGGGGAGCACAGGGGTAAACTTGGAAACTATGGGGGAGCACAGGGGTATACTTGAAGATATGGAGGCACACAAAAGTTTATTTGCAAATATGGAAGCACATAGGGCCATGTTAGAGGATCGGGGTACCCCTGGAGCATTCATAAGATACATTTCAAAGCTTTAAACTTTGTGTATTTTGTCATTTTTGAGAGAGGCCTGGAACCTAACTCCCTCCCTTCCCATTGACTTACATTATATACTGGGTTTCAATTTACATCAGTTTGTTTCTATTTTCAACCATTCCTTCTGGAACCTAACCGTGGCGTAAATCGTGGGGTTACCTGTATTATTATTATTATTCAGTAGAATACTTTTCGAGTACCAGTGCTGATACTTGACATTTTCATGAGAACTACCAGGTTTGCAGCTGTTGCAGCTGGGACCGGGCTCTGGCGCTCCACCACTGTCCTGAAATCATTAGTCTGTGTTGTTTTAGAAAAACTGTCACATGACAATAAACAAAAATGTATCAGTACTTGTATGTGTGAGTACTTGGGCAAGTATCAGTACCTGTACTTGCAAAAATGGTATCGGTGCATCCCAAATATATATTTATAAAAACAAAATCATACATTAAAACAGAGATGTACAAATCCCAGGAGCTCCGCGTGCTCCTTACAAATGCCAGCTGCCTCCTAACTTTTAACTCCATAACTAATTTAGCTGGTCGGCGACTGCCTGAGGTGCCGCGCGTGTCGGGATCCTCTGACAGCCGCCGGCCAGCTAAATTAGGACCCCACCCGGAGCTCCTCCCACTGGACCAGCGCTGACTCGCCGCTGCTCCCCCGCACCGAAGGTAAGTGAAAAAAAAAACATAGCGCAAACATCGGGGCATTTTGACAAGTACAAGTAGTTGTCAAAATGCCCTGTTTTTTTCCACCCTCACCCTGCAGCGCCCTCAGGCGGCCGCCTGACTTGCCTTGCGGTAGCGCCGGGCCTGGCCCCGCCCTTAAACCTTTCAATGTGCTCTGATAAGCAAGTGTGTCAGACTGGCAGACATGATGATTATTATATTATAGTATTATTATGATTACATTGTATATTATGATACAATGTTTCATCAACAGTTTGCCAAATACTGTGTGACATATATTATTTGCAGTCACCCATATTTTTATTCTGCGGGTCCTCCTGCTTTCATGAAATATAAATGTTTTGGGGGGTGATGAATATTTTTCGAGCAAACATGGTGCATTTTAGCATTTGTGTGAGAAAAGAAGCATTCAACCATTGGACTGGCAGGGGAAGGGTTAACCCCCTATGATGGACACATGGCGCAGCTCCGGGGGCTTGTTGTTGTTGTTGTGTGCACATAGCAGAGGACATCTCGCAGGCTGTTTTGATGTCTTCTGTGAACACTGAATACACAATGTGAAGCCATGTGATATGGGACAAAAGTTACAGCAGCGATGATAACCGCGCACAGCTCTACGCACCCTCCGGGGACACCAGAAACTCAGGAAGTACTGCACAGACCGAGACAAACCACCAGACTCCTCCCACCGCCCCGCCCACATACGAGGGTGTATCTCCTACACGGTCTTCTATTGGCTGCGGGGCTGTTACCGGTCATGACAGCTCCGGCGGGAGAAGGCCGCTGATTGGCTGTGGCGTGGTGTGACGGCGGAGAGCTGCCTGTGCTGCCACCCATAATAAAATACCAGGAATTGAAGGGAAGAAAACACGGTTATAGGGGCCGGAGGAGGCGGAAAGAGAATAGAAGAAGCCGAGACTGTGCTGGGGGGACACCGATCACCGAAAGGAAGAAGAAGAACACATTGAAGAGGTAGCTGTAATACGAATACTGTAATCCTGCCTGGTGTACAGAGGACGGCATGCACTGCTTCTTCTCAGGGATGAATTGATGGCAGTGCGGACACTTGTGTCAGATGGAGGGATCACAGACAATACACAATCTCATTGTATAGTGTATGGATAGTCCTAGACATGGGTAGTGTGATCGAGAAGGAGAGGGGCCTCAGTGATTGTGCAGTGGACAATGCGCAGCAGGTCTGCAATGGGGAGCATGGGACAGGGGAAGAGGGTGAATGCACTGTGTAGGTGCTAGGCAGGGGAGGAGGGTGAATGCACTCTGTAGGTGCCAGGCAGGGGAGGAGGGTCAGTTCACCGTGTAGGTGCCAGGCAGGGGAGGAGGGTGAATGCACTGTGTAGGTGCCAGGCAGTGGAGGAGAGTCAATGCACTGTAGGTGCCAGGCAGTGGAGGAGGGTCAATGCACTGTGTAGGTGCCAGGCAGTGGAGGAGGGTCAATGCACCCTGTAAGTGCCAGGCAGGGGAGGAAGGTGAATGCACTGTGTAGGTGCCAGGCAGGGGAGGAGGGTGAATGCACCGTGTAGGTGCCAGGCAGTGGAGGAGGGTAAATGCACCGTGTAGGTGCCAGGCAGGGGAGGAGGGTGAATGCACTGTGTAGGTCCAGTGATAAAAGAGCTGATTGTACACTATGATCTGGACACTGATCTAATTTATGGGATCGCTGATGTGTGTGTGCTCCTCTTCTCGCAGCAGATCGGAGGGGATCTGAATTCTCGGACATGTTCCCTCTGGACACTCAGTGGAACATTTCCTTCGCTGGCTGTGGCTTCCTGGGAATATATCACATTGGGGTCGCCAGCTGCCTGAAGGAACACACACCTTTCCTGGTCGAAAATGCCAGAAACATCTATGGAGCCTCTGCTGGAGCCCTCACTGCTACAGCCCTAGTCAGCGGAGCCTGCCTGGGTATGGACAATGTAGATCCATGTGTGTCTATGTGTTCCAGAACTGACTGACTATGTGCCTTTTTGTCTGGCTGCTGTTCCAGTCTGTCCTGTGGGTCTGTTCCATCCCTCCCTCTCTTTAATACAGCTTTCTGTCTATTCTACACCTTGCAGTATTCTATCCCATCTCTAGCTCTGCTCAGTCTTTCTCCCTCTCTATGGTCTTTCTTTCTTTCTCTCTGTGTGTCTTCCTCACTCTCTATTTCTCTCCCCCCTCTCTCTCTCTTTTTCTGTTCCCCCCTCTATCTTCACTCTTCCTTTTTTGCTCTCTTTTCCTCTCTCTCATCCCTCTCTCCTTCACACTCTTCCTCTTCTCCCTCTCTCTCTTTCTCTTATTCTTCCTCTTTTTCTCTCTCTTTCTTTCTCACTCTCTTCCTCTTTCTCTCTCTCTTTCTTTCTCACTCTCTTCCTCTTTCTCTCTCTCTTTCTTTCTCACTCTCTTCCTCTTTCTCTCCTCTCTCTATTCCCCTTTATATCTATCTATTTTCCTCTGCTTTTTCTCTTCTTTCTTTCTTTCTTTCTTTCTTTCTTTCTTTCTTTCTTCCTCCTTCTTTTTTACTCCATTCCTTTCTGTTTCTCGATTGATTCTCTTTCTTATCTTTTTCTCTATTTATTTTGTCTGGCTCTTATTTTTTGATAGCTACAATTTACAGCACTTCTTTCATTCTCAGTCATTGAATGTTTACCAAAGTGATTGCAACCTGTTTGGGTGATCAGCTGACAAGTTGCAGACTACAATTACAGTCCAGTTGACATTTGTCTTCCATTGTAGATGTACAAGTGACCCATAGCTGGTGTTTACATCTTAAGCTGCTTTCATAAGATGTAACCTCAACATACTGTTGTAAACAACTGTTATAGAGGTCAAATAATTTCCTAAGGGAAGAACTGTAATCTTCTGTGTATGGCCACTGCACTTATGTATATTTGATATCATATCTATATATAACATGCCACTTTGTAAATGCCATGTTGCAAATATGTAGATATATGCAGGATACAACAATGAACAAAATAAGAAATATAAGTATATCACACACAGTTTTATCAAGCAGCAGCAAAGCTCTCCCATGTTTGTTGTCTTTGTTTGCTAATAAGACCCACTTACTGGCTGATTTAATAAGACAACAATTTGAATCTACTGACTGCTTCACTGGTTGCTATGACTTATGCAGTCTACGTAATAAATATTTATACACATTGTTGTGTGTGCCCATGAGTGATACACTTATTTATATTTGCACATTACCTATTCTATGTGTGCGTCCATTGCAGACAAAACACAAGCTATCAGGTGACTGGCTGCTTGGCTAAGGAGATCTATATACAGCTTGCATGTGTAACCTTACAAACAAAGACTGAGCATGTGTGTCTTCTCAGCATCGACCTGCTGGAGTCTTCTGCTTTTTAAAATATACTGAGTCAGAAAAAATACATCTTACTATATTGAAGTGGCATGAATGTTACTGACTAGTCCATTCTTTTTCTATAAAGTCATCCTTTGATGCTGATCATAAGATTGACTGAGTGAGTTTTTATGTGGTCTGCTGCTACCAACCATGATCTTGTGCAGTGTTTCCCTCCCAGACTGGTAAATATTGTTAGTTATGTTTCAAGTGAATATGTTAACATAGCCTTACACATTGCTGTGCATAGGCATTCCCTTAGGACTTTTTCATATTTTTCACTGTTGCTACCTGAAATTAAAATGAATTCAACTGGGATTTTTGCCATTTGATTTACAGAATATACTTAAAAAATGAGCACGTCTACTTTTGTTTCACAATAATAAATATTACATTTAAAAGGCAGACATTTGCTGGATACATAAGTATTTACTCCCCTAACTCCATACTTTGTAGAATGACCTTTGGCTAGACGTAGAGCTGCAAGTCTTTTGCGGTACGTCTTTTCCAGCTTTGCACATCTGAACCCTACCTATAATTCTTGCCAGCTTTTCACGGTAAAACATTTCCCTAGCTCCGTCAGGTTAGAGGGGGAAAGAGAAAGGGCAGCAATGTTCAGGTCTTGCTGCAGATTCTCCATTAGAATGAGATTAGATTGATTGGATTGATTAGATTCTGTGGAATTTGACTACTCTCAGAGCCAGGTCCTAGATTTTCAACTACACCAGTGTAGCTTTGACTTTCTGTTTAGGTTTAAAGTCTTGCTAAAAGAAGAACCTCCTTTGTACTCGCAGATCTCCTGCAGCCTGAACCAGGTTTTCCTCTAGAATTTCCCTCTGGCTTCATTCATCTTGTCTTCAGTACTGATTAGTTTCCCGGTTTCGGTGGATGGAAGGAATCCCCACAATGTAATTCCACCAACACTGTACTTCCCCATGAGGATGCTCTTGAAATGGGTATAGTCATGGTCAAATCCAAATAACATGTCAAGACAGCAACTAAACAGTTCCAAACCTGCATGCTTGCACCATCTTGGTAATAGTAGTGGGTAAGAAGATCCAACCAGTGATGTCAAGTGCAGAAGATCCATTTTAATTTTAGGTAGCAACATTAAAAAAATGTGAGAAGAGGGGCGTGGCCAACCATGGAGGAGTAAAGCCGCACGGATTTGAGCTCTGCCGATCCGGGGCCGTTAATCAGTGGACTATCCTGATCAGGACCTACCTTTTCTTTTATGCCCGGTACCCAGAACTCTCCCGAGACTCCCTCCACCTCCTGGACCCGTGACATCGCCTCTTACTTCAGGCGCAATCCGAACGAGGCCGCATCCCGAACAGGCCGCACCATGGGGCCAAAAACCATCCCGCCTAAGAAGGCCGCGGCTGCGCCCGCTCCAGCATCCACTCAGGGGCTCCGTTCCTCCACTCATGCACACCAGCTCTCGGGCTAGGTCTCCTCCCGTCATGTATAATAGGCTGTGCCGTATACTATATTGTGTTTCTTGTCAATGCCATGCTGATCCCACGAGGTCTTACCCATGGGTCACATGACGCACATCTGGTGGAGCTGTCGTATGCTTCAGGAGTTCTGGCAGGGGATTCTGGGAATTTACCTCAGAGTGACGGGTACTACAGTGGCTAATGACCCTAAGATACTGCTGCTCTCGATGCTCCCCGGGTCCCTGAAGTCGGCAAAAGGAGGCCTCCTGCGACACTTTCTCACGGCTGCACGGGCAGTTATTCCGCGACATCAGGAGATTGTGTGTTTCATAACAAAATGGGTAAATACTTATGCAATCAACATATTTTATTTGTAAATCATTTAGAAAGCGTCATAGATCTTTTTGCATTTTGTACTATTTTTGTGTAGATCAGTGACATGCAATTACACTACCAAATTCTAAAGGGTAAGGGGGGATTGCATACAGTTGCCAAGCACAGTACATTTACATTTTAAAAAATAAAAGGTGAGGCTAGGTATAAATAAAAATCCCATTACTAATCCATCTACTAAACGCTGTGAATGCATGCATTTGAGGTAACTGGAAATAGTGTAACCCACCCTCTACTGCCTAGTGGTTCTCTAGGGCTAATTATATTATGCTCATGGAGGATCTCATGGCTGCACTTACAATTACACTAAACGCAGGAGTTAAATCTTACAAATGCATTCAAGTACCTTAACTATTAACAAAAATGTAACTTATTTGTGTATCGCTCCGCTGTAGATCTTAAAATCATCTCTGAATTGGTGCTGACACTGTCCTTCCTTCTGGAGGGTGGCTACTTTTGTTCCCCATGGTCCCTGTGAGTGTTGTAAAGTAGCCACCGCTCCAAGCTCACTCCCATAATAGACTGCAATCTCAATAGCAAATGTGAGCTTGTAGTTCATCACAGGAGCGAGCTTGGAGCGGTGGCTACTTTAAAATACAGGCTGGCTATCGTATCTGCCCACTGCTTGCTGTGCCCTCAGCATGGAGAAGAGAGCTAGGGGATCCAACCAACTAATCAATAATGAGAATAGTTGACAACTCTTCTCATTATTGATTATCATCGATTAATCTATGAGTTGGTTGAAGCCCTAGTAAATGGCTTACATTGCAAATAACTGCTTGTACTTTATCTTTTTGTATTGGTATAAATAGTCGTGTTTTTCATCTACTATTGAAAACGAAAGGTATTGCTGCTATACCTACATTTTGTTGACATAAACAGTTATGCTGTTGAAAACTAAAGCTGGTAGCTGATTTATAAATAACAAAATAATGAAAACGTCAATAAATTTACCTAGAATACGAACTTCCTTTCTTTCTCCCCCTAACCCCATTGACAAGCATAGTACAGTATTACATATTGGCAGAAGGGAAATTGTTACACTGATTAAACTTTATAGGACGGGCATTTGATTTTACCTTCATAGCAGAAAACTAGGCCAAAGACAGAAAATTACACAGTCCAAAAACAATGTTTATATCAGGGGTTGACACTTTAATATGGAATTCAGTCGGTCCAATCCAGGAGCCAGTAGGATTTTTTTAGGAGCTCCATTGACAAATGGAGCAAATCTTACAAGTTAGCTGCTAGCTGTGGTTTATTAGGAGCATTGGCTATGTGGCTCCTGGGAATTGTCCAGCCCTGGTTTGCATGTATAGATGAAAGGTCCAATCCACCATAAAGTTATTTTATATTTATAGGTGGATCCTGGTAGACTAAGACTAACTTACACCCTAAATACTCTACAATAAGATCTCTCAACTGTAACTTCCACCTCTGTTCCTCTCTTGAGTTTTTGTTCTTCTTACCCAGCTCTTGGTACCTGTACCTCCTCTTGCATTCTCCATTATGTATGATACATATAAAATTGTACAGGGAGAGTGGGAATCACTCATAATGACCACAGCATGTGATGTAGTTCTCTAGTGGTTCACATCTCCAGCCTCTTCTAAAAACTTTACAATCAGTTCTGGGAGGACTGTTCCTTTAAGTAACCCCAAGTGAACTGAGCAATATGTTTTTGGAATGTAAGAGGTGTGAACTGTATTACGTATTAATCATAG